TGGGCAATAAGGATGAACTTTCTCACTAATGCTTTTTAAAAATTATCTATTACCTACTTTAAAATTAATTTTTAAAAAGGCAATTGATTACTTCTATGATCTTCCTCCAAAAACCCATAACTCTACCCTAATCAAGAGGAAAAACATCAGACAAATCCAAGAAGAGGGACGGTCTACAAAATATCTCCTCAAAACTGTCAAGGTCATCAAAATCAAGGAAAGACTGAGAAAAATGTCACGGCCAAGTGGATCCTAAGGATACTTGACGACTCAGTGTAATGATCCCCTTGATGGGATCTTAGAACGGAAAAAAAGACATTAGGTAAAAACTAAGGAAATCTGAATAAAATGTGGTCTTTAGTAATAATAACATGTCAATGTGGTTTATTAATTCTAACCATACCAATGTAAGATGTTAATAATAGGCAAAACTGGAAGTGGGAATATGGCATCTGTACTATAGTCTCAATTTTTCTGTAAATCTAAAACTGTTTACAATTTTTAAAAGTTTAGGTTTTTTTGTTTTGTTTTGTTTTGTTTGTTTGTTTGTTTTTATGCCATTGAAACCATAAAGGTGAGATGGAGAAAAATCAACTGAGTACCAACCAGTGTGGTTGGTATCAGACACCTAAAGGTAATTAAGACCTGGGCAATTTGCCATGTAGCAGGTGAGGCAGGCCCCTCCAGCCCCAGTCGAACAGAATGCGCTACGAGCCAAGGGAAGGAGAGGCCCGTTCTCCTCCACCTGAAAGGAAGCAGAGAAGCCTTCACAGAGGAAGGGGCATTTGAGCTGGAATTATGGGATGAGGAGAGGATACTCTGGGCATACAAGATTCAAGTACTTGTTCTGTCACTGACTGGCTACATGACCTTGGGCAAGTCACTTAACCTTTCGGCCTCAGCATTTTCATGAAAACAATTCAGGGGGTGGACTAAATGGTCTCTCTCATAGATTCTAGCTCAGAAAAATCTCGACACATTCACTGGTGCGCTCAGGGGAAATGCATTCAAGTTCTCCCGAGAGCTTGACCCATTTCACACACACACGCGCGTGAGGATGGGACAAACCACACGCACACACATACACGCACACACATACACACACATCACCAAGACTTATGTTCATCTAGTCATTCAACGAATATGATTTAAACACCGTTCGAGGCACAGAGGATACAAAGATGAATAAAACCAACAAATCTCCCTGTCTCAGGGAGCTCAGGTCCTGGTTGAGGGAGACATTCATTTGGGGAGAAGGGCAATATACAAGTAAGTAAGTACATTAGATGGTGATGAGTGCTAAGGAGAAAAATCAAGGCAGGAAAGGAGATAGGAAGAAGGTAGGGCAGAGGTTGCAGCTTTAGTTGAGAGTGTCCGGGGGAAACTTGGCTGAGTAGGAAAGGACAGAAAAGGCAGGTGGCAGAGGAAGCCAGACATGCAGAAGCCGGGAAGAGAGAACTACAGTACTACAGGTAGAGGGAAGGGCCCGCAGCAGCACGGGAGGCGTGCCAGAAACTGCAAGGAGAGTCCAGTTGCTGGAGGGAAGTGTGTGAGGGGAAGTGGTAAGAAAAACAAAGTCGAACAAATTGGAGAGTAAGAGGAGGGAAAGTTCATGGAGAACCTGGCAGGACACTGTCATGACTTTTAGAAGCAAGTGGAGGGTTTTAAGCAGAGTGACATGATCAGACTTGAGCCTTAACAGGATCGCTCTGAATGAGAGTCGAGAATAAGTAAAAGCCTCAGCTCTGCAAGAGACAAGCAACTGTCTCTGAAAAACTCGGATGGAGTTGAGGGAGAAAATCCAGTGAGAGGGCACCCACACTACAGCACCCCTCCAAACACCTGCCACTGAGGATGTGTCAAGGCCTGTCTTGGAGCAAACTTTTCACTGTGTGGCCCAGGAATCAAACTCTACATTCAACGAAAGAAGTCTCACAAGTAAATGGATGCCTATAGTTAGTTAGTGTTCCTTTACATTTATAAAGGTCATTAATCTCATTCCAGCTGGAAAGAAAGAAAACAAACCATAGCTGGGGCTTTTCAAAGCCCTCAGCCCCAGCCACATGAAAATACCTGTGAAAAGAGACCCTATCCCATTAACCCAGCTGCATACTGCCACGTGAAAGGACACTATTATTTAAGTACTGTGTAATTGTCTCACATTGCCGATATCATTAAAACTTCTCAGAATATTTCCATGAACCAGCTGAAGAAGAAAAAGTAGTTACCAGGGCAGGCAGGCACAAAGGGCCTTTTGCCAACTACTTAGATATTTTAATTCTCTGTTGCCTCAGTAGCTAAATAAGCATGGAGAACAAGCAGGAGAGGAATACTAATTAGAGCTAATTAGACCCTGCCCTCTTCTGCCTCAATCCCCTTTATAAAAAGCCCCCTAATTCAAGGATGATGGAGCCAAAATGTAAATACCCAGGGTAAACAGCAGTCCACAAACCAAGCCCCAGGTTACATTTCATTGTCCCGTCATTTCTAAACCTGTGCCTGGTTACCTGAAGAGAGCTGCAAACCCACAGCCTAATTCCAACAGCCCCATCCATCATAGACCATGGAAAATGTGGTGGAGGTCAGCAGGGAGAGTGCTGCCAACGGGAGTCCACTAAATAGACTAAAGGGCTCTTAAGATTTAGAGCATTCTAATATGCAGGGTATCACTAAAAGAACATAAAAAAAAAAATACTATGATAGCAAACAGGACTCCAGTCCTATGGTAGGATTAATACCATGCTTCCCCCTCCTTAGAGCAAGAGCCTCACCCCAGAGAAACCCTTCCTTGGTTCTGTGGGAAGACCAGTTTCAGAGTCCTGTCCAGAGGCTCTTGGCCACGGCATAATGAGATAACCCAGGGACCCGTCACAAACTTGTTTGAAATGAGCCCCCTTAAATTAAAAGTCTGTTTC